ATAACGATATTACAGCTTTCATTGATTTATTTCAAACTTGAAACTTTGTTTAGCCTGTAAGGTGTAAAAAACAAAAATTTTTTTACAGATTAATCGAATCGAATCGTGGTGTATTCTTGAGTATCGAAAATAATCGAATCGTTCGGTCAGGAAATCGATACTAATTCGATTCGCCATGATGGATGTGATTTACACCCCTAATGTGCAAACTAGTTTGGTTTCATGCATTAAAATGGCAAATTGTGTGTTCTAATGGAAGTTTAAAAGTGAACATGTGGTTCTAAGCAAGTAGTTGGAGCTAATAATGTAGGGCTTCAACTTATTTTCTTTAACTTATCTTTTTGGTTAATTGCTTCATGATCAGATAGAAAAAGGTTCCTTAGAGTTTTTTTTTACAGGATTAAACCAGGTATAACTAAAACCTTTTCACTTGTGGAGCTCTAAATAAAGCATACTCACAGTTTCTTTTTTTAATCTTAATTGCGAAATATTTATATATATTTTTAAAGTTTAATAAGGTTAGTGCTCTAAGTGGGTTGCTCTGTCCGGTAAAGGCAAGTTTTGGAGTCTCAATATGCCATTAAACAATTAATTGATTAGTAAATTAGTTGACTATTATTTCAATAGTCCCTTAACCCATATGATACAATTATTAAGAAAAAATACATATTATTATACCAAATCAAATTTATAGAGCACTTTACACAGGTAGCCTATCATTAAATGGTAAGAAGAAAAGTAAAAACAAAATGATGAAAAAACTATAAAAATGAAATATCATTAAACATGGAAAAAAGGTCCAAACATAAAAGAATAGAATAGAAAATAGCTTTATTGTCCCACTATGGGGAGATTCCGGTGTTTACAGCAGCAAAAATATTATAGAAAAAATGGTCACACAAAGAAGGACCTTAGAAAAATGTATAAGAATAATATAATAGATAACATGTTTCTGTGCACGCTCCTTTGACATTATAGTGTTTTTCTAAAAGCATACCACCATATTTAAATTTAGTCTTTTTTTGTTTCAGTTTAATTGATTGATGGTTTCCTGTCCTGCTGCATTAATTTGTGGCTGCTTGGAAAGACTTTCTCTTCACCCTGTGATACCAACACCTCCATTGTGGTCAAAATGACTGCAGATATTTTTGCGTGTCAGTTTGCACCTGAGTTTCAGAAGTACTAAAAATACGCAAAAACTTCGGCTGCTGTTGAGTTTCAGATTTAGGAAAATTGCTTTTCATATGGTCAATGTTTACATTTATACATCCATCATCTAGGAATTTGCACAGCTTGGTCATTAGAATATCATCTACATATTGATGAAGGCAAACATGCAAAAAAATGGTTTGTAAAAGCTGTCTGCTGAAACGCACTTTGCGCCTCTCCTTGTTGCATGTTTGTACCTGTTTCATGAAATGAAAACCTTCTGAAGATCAGGCCCTTAGTATTGATCTCTAATCTTGAACCATAAAGTCCAGTTTTTCTGATCATAACATGAAAAATGTGACAAAGTCAATGAGTTTAAATTATTTCTAAAGCATAATGAGAAAAAAATTAAAACTGTTTTGAGCAATTGCTCAGAATTTGACTCCTTTTTACCAAAAAACATTCATAGAGCAGAAAATCCTCTCTCTCATCCCCACGGAAAGCTTTTTTTTCCACTGCTGCTGATGCAAAGCGAACATTTCCAGCAGTAGCTGCTGCTTTAAAGCATCTAATTGCATCACTAGAGTCCCGCAGTGGCTGCATGTTGCACTTGAGTTGGTTCAGTTTCAACAACTGCAGTGCAAGTTAAATGTTTAGCTGTTGTTATTAGTATCATTTATAAAGCCAAGGAAGGAGTAAAATATGTGGAGGCTTTAACCTTGGGAGTTCTAAGCGCAGAATAAAGAAAAAGACAGAAAACACATTCAGTCTGCAGACAGAGGGAGTAAAACGAGGAGCACAGCCTTGAGTTCAGTGTATTATGAGGCTAAAACTAAACAAGAACAGACCTGACCGGGGGCACTGGAGTCACATACTGATGTTGCGTACTGCCTGTCCAACTCCGGCGCATTGTCATTCTGGTCTAGTGTTTCTATGGCAACCACAGCCCTTGACACAAGATTTGGGTTGTCTGAGAGAGAGACAGAGGGGGAAATGAACACTAATGTTCAAATTATTATAGAAAATCCACTATTTGTACTCCACTGAGTGAAATATGAGTTGGAGAAGCTGCGCTGCTCCAGGCGCCTCAGGGCAGCGCGGTCTGTCATACCCCTCTGTGTGGCGATGACTGAGATATTATGCCACTGCTCCTGCTCACGGTCCAACTCCATCACGGCGCTGATAAAACCCGTGTCAGAGGCAATCCGGAACAAAGCCTCCGGGTCTGAATGGGGATCGATGGAGTACCTAAGATAAGGGAGGAGGCACTAGTGTAAAAAGCTAATGAGGACTGAGCGGCTAAATCATGAGTGATTGATGGTGAAACAGGCACCTGATGTTGGCACTTTGTCCCGTGTCTGGATCCACGGCGTAGACCCGGCCGACGGCGCAGACGGGAGGGCAGTTCTCAGACACATCCAGGTGGTAGACCGCCTGGGAGAATCGAGGCGGCTCGTCGGCATTAAGGATCATCACCCGGACCGTTGCCTGGTCCTTAAAGGGTCCTTTCCGTATAAACCGAGGATCAACAAAAGGGTTCACCACTTCCACGGAAAAAGTGTATGAATTGCGTGTTTCGTAATCCAGAAGCTGTAAGAACGAGGCAGAGAGAATCAGCAGGGGTGTTATTACTCATGTTAACAGTATGTGCTTTCTTTTTGATCCATCAGAAGACTCTGTCTCTCATTGAGGTATTATCTTCTTTCTAAGCAGCTTAATTGCAGTTTTCTGTTCAATGACTTCTTCTCTTCCTCCATTGAATTTATTATTTCATAGCACATGTTGTCAAAACCCCTGGTGGTTAGCAGTCATCTTCCAGCGAGGTTCTGCTAACATGACCTCACTTCACACGAGCCACAGTTTCCAACCGGTTCATCATTTCTCATTCATAGCTCGCTGCAGAGCGCCAGTGGTCAGCTGCTATCATCAGCAGATGTTGTTTAAAACATTCCAGATTAAAAAGAGTGGCCGACTAAACATGCAATAGTTTGTAAAACTATTCATACTCATTAAACTTTCTGCCCATTTGTCTCATTTAAACCAAAAACTTCCATGTATTTTATTCGGATATTATGCTAAAAACCCAGACTGGGAAAAGGGGGGATTTTTTTTTTATGTTTTACAAATAAAGCAACTGAGATAAGATGAATGCATATGTATTTATTGCATATATATACTAAGTCAGTACTTTACTGGACATCCTCACTAAGGCTGCAGCTGCAAGCCAATTGTGGGTAAAGCTTCATATCTAAAGACAAACTAGACATTTCCACTTTATAAATGAGCTCAGGCTCAGTGAGAACAGATGGAGAACATCTGCGAACAACAGTTTTCAATTCTTGTTAGAGATTCTCCCTTCATTTCAGGTCTGGGCTTTGCCTAGGCCATTCTTACATAATTATATGCCTTAATCGAAACTTCCATACTTCCTGTTTTAGATGCGTCTCTGATGCAGTATATCTGATTACAATAATTTTATCACAGCATGCCTCTAAATTCTGTCTTGTTTATATTATGTTAATGTGGGACATTTGGATCCTGAGGACCAGGATTGGAAGAAAAATGGTAATCTAAAGTTTTTAGTTTAATCTATGTGCCTCTGTTTAAATTCATTGCACTCCTGGAGGATGTACTTCCACCATGGTCTGAAGTCTCCTGCATTGGTAGATGATTCAAAAAGATGAATTAGACTAAGACTAATTACACTGAACCACAGAACATGTTTAAAGACTGCAGGAGAACCTGGCTTTGACACCTAGTAGCCTTCCTAATAGGATCACCTACTCCTACCAGGTTTCACCCAGTTTCCCATTGACTCTAAACAGCTTCTCTGTTTTGCAGCAAACATGGCAGCGGGGGCGTTATTATGTGGGATTAGAGTCTTCAGCACAAAGAAAATAATCCCATAGAATAACGCTGCCATGTTTCAAAGTTTAGACAGTGTGTTCAGGATTATCTGGAGTCTGTTATGCCATCTTTGGCGGAATGCACCACCAAAATTCATTTTATCAAATCATCTCATAGCATATTTCTGCAAACTTAATTTCTAATGGCTTTACTTCTGCCTTTCTTTGATAAACACTGGAGGAATAAATTATAAGACAAATAGCTGTTTTGTTAAATATTGAAATTATACTCCAAACTTGACCTGTCCATAAGGTTATACTATTATATCCATTATCAGAAGATGGAAAAAACAGAGCTCCATACTCAAGGCTTTGGATATTTTGTTCTAATCTAACTTTGTTTTATTCCTTTACAACAGAGGTAACCAATTACAAATCAGCAGGGTCCGAATCAAGAAAATAAACAACCAGTAAAGACATTTCTAATCATAATCTGTTACTTTAAACAGAATTTAACACTGAAATAAAAATATTGTTTTTATGCATCCATGTTATACATTTAATAAATTCTAATGTGTTTTTTGAAGAAGAGAACAACAATCTTTCAGTTTGGTATATAGACAATTTCCTGATTCACATATTTTATAAAACACCTGAACTGACCGTTTTCTTTTTTCTTTCTTTTTTCTGTCTTAATGAGAGCAGTGGGCTTTATGCTGCCCTGCAAGGCTTTAAACCTGGGTTTAAACGGAGACAAAGCCGTTTTCAAGCACATGTCAAGTTGCTCATTTTGAGCCTGGATCCATATTTATTTTTGAATATGTTCATATTGGAGAATCCACCATAAACATATTCATATGGAGCATTCACAGCAGCAGGTTGGGCCAAACATACTCAAAATGTGCAGGGTCATCTTTGAGCACAACATTTCACTTCTCTGTCACCAGTTCACCACAGTTCTTCCAGCAGTCCACACTTTCTCTGCTCTCTTTTTCTCATCATCTTCTCCTTCTTTCCCATCGCCCGGCTAACCACAGGTTTGCCTGCTGTGTCTAAAAGTAGCAGCAGCAGCAACCCAGACTGACAGCTCATTGGATAATATGTATCACATACAGTCTGGTCCCGGCACTCCAGACGGCTTTACCATTTTAAAAGGAGAAGCAGCGCAAGTGAAATTAGACACTGTCATCGGACAACATGCGGTAATTTTTAAATGTTTTAAATCAGGTTGGGACCGGATAAGCAAACAGGTGGGTCCGAATCCAGACGACGGTCCGCTAATGACCATGACTTCTGCTTCACAACTTTCTCCTGTTATGTTTCTTTGTTTTAATAATCCAGTTGTCTTATAATTTCTCAAATAAATATCTGAGTCCTTCACAGAACAGCTAGACTTGCACTGAATTCCAAACTAATAGGGGGCTGAGGAATGCAAAAGGTTGCACCAGATTCCAGGTAAGGGTCTCAGAGTTAAAAGAGAATTTTTAAAGATTGAACTAAACTATTTTCCTGATGATTATGCAGTGTTGTGTGTTGGTGTCCCAAGAAAACAAACCAAAGTATGTAATTATAGCTTCAGCAAATGGGATATGAATTAAAGAGTAAGGCACTTTACAGGCTTTTACGTTTTACGATTTTTAAATGTATCCTGTGATAAACCCTGACTGCTTTGCAGACATTCAGCAGGTGCCCTCCAGTCGTCACTCACCTTGTTCAGGACAATGACCGCCTCTTTGGCTCTCCGAGTGATGTTGAAAATCTCTGCCTCCTCTGCATCCAGGATGGTAAACTCCAGCTGTGCGTTTTTTCCCAGGTCAGGATCGGTGGCAGTGAGACGGCCCACCTCCACACCTGGTGCAGCTAGCTCCGACACAGAGAACGACCATGCGCCTGCAGGGGGGTGAGGGGGCACAATGAATGGAGCAGTTTGAGAGCTGGCACTGAATGTTCATGAGGGCGCTGTTTGGCTCCCTTCTGACTCAAAACAAAGCTGGCATTACCATAATGCATGCAGCTGCTCTCCTGCACAGATTTCACGATGAAGTTTAGAGCATTGTTTCCCCTCTGTCATATTTATCATCGTATATCACAGGTCTGCTTGTGGTGCAAGAGTTATTGGTTGGTGCAAAAATCGCAGTAAATCATTCAAGGAATAAGATTTCTTCTTGAGGCAATGCTAATGTATAAAAGCGGCTAAACACCCCCCTGTTTCTGTGGAAAAATGAATTCTACAGTAACTGCAGTTTGGGGAATATATAGACATGTTTATTAGGCAGGGGGCAAGAAAATATGAAATAAAGAATATACAGTTTTCACTTCAAGGAAAATTCTGAGATGGAATGCATGGCTGGTACTGATCATTTTAATAAATATGAAACAGCATATTTTAGGCAAACATGATACCTGAAGCCATAAAACCATAAATCTTTTCTGAATTTTGATTTAAAGGTTGTTCCTGCAGGAAAAAAAATAAGATTTCCTTATTGTGCATAATACCTAAAACAATTATTCACTTGGTTACAACTCCAACAAGAGAAAAAAATAATACAGTAACAGCTTTGTGTTAAAGGTACAGAGATGTGGAGCTATCATTGTATTTTAGAGATAATAATCCTGCAGACGGAGCAGAAGCAGAGCAATTGACTGTTTTATGCTTAATGATATGGATGGAAGTACATTTTGATTTAATAGCTTTTTTTTTTTACTTTCTCTCTGATCAGTCTGAAAACCCTCCTGTTGCTGCCTACTGATCTTTCAGGACAACAGCTACACCATCTCTCCCTTTCCTTTCACTAACATTTCATTTCATGTCTGAATTTCTCCACTTTGTGGAGCTGGTAAGTGGCATGGATGCATTAAGAAAGTAAAGAAAGTGTTAATTTTGTCTAAAACTGACATCCGCGACACATCATGGTGCACATGGGATAAACCCTGCAGGCAAAGAGCATTATGGGATTTTATTTTTTTAGCATTACTTCAGCATACAGTATCTTAATAAAAAGAGCATGAAAAATGTTTCAGCACATAAATTACCAGTAATTCCAGTTGCTGAGATCATTTAACTCAAATATTTCCTAGACAATCATAATCGGGCTGCGCCAGGTGACGTCAATGTTTACCTCGGGCGCGGTGCATCGTGGGAAAACCACCATATTAGGTGGAAAGTAAAGCTCAACTTTCATACACGTAAAACCTTTCAAATTTCAAGTTCTGCACGTTGGAATTGAGGCGGAGTTAACTCGGGTTGTTCTTCCTACTCCGTGCGCGCTCTCGACAAGGGGATACAAATTTTCGCAGGGATAACAACCTTGGCACGACACGGTACGATTATTTCGCATTTTGCTTACTTTTTTCCATATAGTCAGAGAAACAAACTCAATCCTTTAATCCTTCGTTTAGCTATGCTGCGGTTGTTTACACTACGCCTTTTCCACCAAAAATGGCGTCTTAGCAACAAATGTCACGTGACTGGCGGAGACCGATTGTATTTGTTTATTGCCAAAGATATTATAAATGTCTCAGTTATGTATAGGATGTGGGTCAAATTAAATTCTGTTGTTTAATGCTAAATTTGATAATTTTATCTGGATTACATCTGGCAAAAACATTTCATTGCGTAATAGAAATAAAGGATTTTTAAATAGCTGTTGTAGATGAATAAACTGAAAAGTGTGGCATGAATTTGTCTTATTTGCTGAATAAATTCTGGTTAAAAAGTTGCTTTCCAAGGTGACTCACATGTAATTTAATCTACGTTAGTTACCATTTACCATTTTTGTTAACGGAAGTAAAAGGAAGGCCCATTTGCATTTAAGTTCAGACTATGTAGGAGGAAGATATGGAGAGGGTGGTCTTGTTTCATAAGTCAAAAATGAAATGTGTAACCTTTGTTTTTTAGGAAAACAAAATTCCTGTTGAACACTTCCCGTATACAAAACCAAAAAGGCAGATTGGAATGGTTTAAATAAAAGTATTTCGCATGAAGGAATGGTCCAGTCGAAGTCCAAAACTCATCATTTGAAATCTGAGTTAAAACCAGAAAATACTTTTCTCTGGTGATTTCCATCTAATTTGATTAAGCTTGACAGAAACAGATAAAACCCCAGTAAAATATATTCAGTTGCATTTCTAATGTTTTTTATATATATTTTTTACATGTTTTAAAAATGTAATTATAACTCGCTTTAAATGGGACATCCCATAATGTATATGTCTCTGATTTATCCTAGAACTACTTTATCTGAAATCATATCAGGGCCTTAAACATTGAAGGCATTGCTTTTGAATACTACTGTAATAACTTCTGATCTCCAACCTCCTTTTAAAAAAGCCTGAAGCTCCTCTGGGATGCCCTCCTAAAACTTTGAAAAGTTCTAGTTTCAGACCAATTATCTCCAAAAATTCAAAGCTGTCTTTTTGGTTCTAGTGAGAAAACAGCAAATGAACACTCTAAGAGTAACAGACATGAGCATGTTGATTACCACGCGCTAACATGGATACATTTCTAATTAAATGGAAGCTCAAAGTGGTTAGAGTCAAACGGCTGCTTGTTTCACTTTTCATTTCTGTGACTGACATTATGTACGTCGGGAAAAAAGGCAACATTCTTCATATACTCTTACACTAAACAGCTCATTAATTAAAATGGTGTTTAATTAAATGTCAGGGTATAACATTAAACAATCAAACCACTGAAATGTGTCCTTTGTTCTATAGCAGCACTATGGGGCACTTTTTTTCACCTTTACTTTTTTTCTTTTTTTTTGTCATGGTTAACTGCTCCAGATCATCAAAACAAATTTTAAATCATATATTTTAACATAAGGACATGTCTCATAATCTTCATTACACCATGATATATTCAAATAAAGCTATGTAATAAAATAAAAACATCACTTAATGGTGTGTAAAAATGTTATTGCACTCTTAAGGTTTCTGTAATAAATGGCAGTGAGTCTTTAAAATCACATTCTACGCTGTTCTATGCTTAGCACTGAAGGGTGTCGTGATTTTGGCGCTGATGACTGGCTTGATTACTCATTTCATTCACCTGCCTAGTTCCGCCCAATTTCTCATTACCGCTTATCTGATCCACCTGCTCCAGGCAGCCTTTATTTAACCTGCCTGCTTCCAGCCATAAGGGCCAGATTATTATCGAGCCTGTTGTCAGAGTTTTCTATTGTACCAAAGTGTTTCTGACAGCCAGATCCTCACCTGTTCTGCCTCTGGACCTCTGAGCCTGCCGGTACCGGTTCTGATCTGTTTGCCTGACCTGTTAGATTTCTGCCTGTGTGCCGAACATGGAATTGATTTCTGTCACCATCCTGGTTTTTCCTTTGGTATCTGTTCGGACCTCTGATCTTTGGTTCTGAATGCGGAGCATTTCCTCAACAACGGCTTTGGCTTCGCCGTCTGGATTATCCTGCCTTCGTTCGTCTGCTCGGATCTGTTCTCCTCCTTGTTTTCCAGCCTCCGGAGCGTCTGGGACTCTCTATGTGGCCCCTGCCTCGCAGTGGCACGGGAAGGGGGGTGCTGCGGGGGCTGCAGCCTCCCTCGTCATAGCATCAGCCCCCCATGGTGGGGGGCTGTGGAGTAA